AGTGCGGTAAGAAGTTGCAGTTGCCTGACGGCCCCTCTCCGAGGGCCCCTTTGTAAACCGTTTCATCTCGCTCGCACCACTTGTGTTTGCTGCCTAATCAGGTGACGTTATCGGCGCTATTTTTAGCCGGGCTTTCCCGAACAATTCAAGTGGTCAAACTGGACATTTGGAACGGACTATGAATATGGGGATAGCGAGGTAACATAAGTGGAAGTGCATACAATACATATATTCATTAAAAAAAAAACGCCTTTTCACGTGATGTCCCTTTAAATCGTATGCATCCATTTTACACTCGAATATTTTATAATTGCCCCTCTATATATTTAATAATTCCCGGGAGGTTACTTTAATGAGCATCATTGATTCTATTGTGTGTGTTCCATGATTGCGTAAGAACAATATGAATCACCCCTTCCAAAGCCGGGGTTCCCCTACTGTGCTAAATACAGATGCATAGAATAATTCAGGCCAGGACAGATGAACACACAGAGACCCGAAAAGTATCTATATATATATATATATAGGAAACAATCCTATTAACACAGAAACATCGTTAGGAACTAGATAAAGAAAGAACTATTCACCATGGTTAAAGTCAAAGAGGATAAGATAAACCAGTGTGCTACACACAGATATTTGGATGCTAGTGATAAATAACAGCTGCCGACAAGCGTATCTTAGGAGAATAGAATCTATCGAAGATTGTAAAAAGATCAAGATTGTCAGTTGTTGCTGATGTGCATACAACATTTGTCGGTGCAGCTCTGTTGCGTCTAAGAGAAGAAATGATATGTTTATCATGTATTTACAATGATTAATTAAAGGAATCACATAAAACATTTTTGTCTTTTTGTATAACAAAAGATGAATTTTCCATTCAAATTACTATCCTCACGTCACTTCCTCATACAACATTTGTTTGTTAACTTGTAGGTGGAACTGATGGATCAAGACACCGGACTGATGCGACAAATGTTGATCCTGAATGAGAAGTGGAGGAGCTGAAGGCTAACAATCTCTATCAGATGAGCAAGGAATCCCTCGACAGCCAGGAAAGTCTGTATCAAGCGGACAGACAGACAGACAAAGACTGTCTGGAAAGCAGATATAGAATCTACACGGACGAACAGTCGGACGGAATATCGTCTGATGAAGAAACAATAACAAATTATAAATATGATTCTGCCTACTATGACTCAGACGAAATTACGAGTAATGTCATCTACGGATCAAGTAAATACCTTTGTTTACGGGAAAAGTAAAACAATTACTTCTATTCGAGGAATCAAAGCAAACCCCGGTTAGATTCGAGATGGAGTAATTTGTCCTGACGCCACCATGCAGTAACATAACAATAAGTTCGGTTTGGGTAGCAGGACGTAGAACAGACATTTGTCAAAGGTAAATATACACATTGACACTCACTTTTGTTAAGTTCTAAGGTTCTTTAGGTATTCTTTTACGAATTGAGATAAGGCATAATACTGTGTGAACAAAGTTGCCTTTCTATTTATATAAGGCGGTATTTGGTTTAAGATGCTGAACATTTTCTAAGTTTTCATGATCATAAACAAGGGAATGCATTTATTGATGTTAATTAACTATTGTACCAAAACATATTGGGTTCTACAAATAAATCATAGTTTCGATCGAATATAGTTACAGTATTATAATGTTAAACATCTGTATTGAATTGAATTGGAGATGACATGCTGTAATAATGATATGTTAAATGTCACCTATTCAAATCTGGAAAATTTCAATGTCTTTATTTATTTTGTGCTTTCAGGAGCATGCTACATACATGGGACGCAAAACAAGGTAGGACATCTTCCAGAAAATAAGCAACATCTTGAGTGTTTAGTAAGACATGCAAAGTCTTCACAAATGCATTTATGGCATATTTTGCTTTGAATGACATATCAAAATAATATAATGGAAACATTTATTTCCAAACGACTTTGAAGTTCCCGATGGAGTTTTATGCATTCAATGGATAGTTATCACAAACTGTTTCTGATTCAATAAAACAGATATTGCCATATAATATCGGCCACATAGTTATCAATGAAATATTTTGATGAAAATACGAAACAAAAAAGTAAACAATGGAAACCCTTACATCAAAACCCCTTATTAGTTCATCATTGACATTTTTATGCATTCAATTGAATGTGTTCTGGTTGAAAAATTACAGACTGTTTCCGGTTCAATCAAAACTGATATAACAATTCAATATTACCGTATTCGTCAACAAAGAAATATTTTGAATAAAATGGTTTTAAAGTGAAGGAGAGAAAAATGAAACACTTAACTTGTTCTGTTCACATAAAAATAACAACCGTTTGTAAAATCTTTGTATGTAAGAGTTTATAAATTTCCACCTGATTGATTCCTTAAGATGATTAATTTGAGTTCATTTTTACCTATTTTTAAATAACATTGATAAAAAAAACAATCAAACAAGAAAATTATTAAACATGCAATCATAATCAAAATCAAATAAGATAGGAAATCGTATGGCTATAGATTAACATACATTGATAATAATAGTCAAATTAATATTGGAAATTGCATTGAGTTAGATTTAAAATCATATTATCTTACTTACTGGGCAATCAATGCAATAAGGTTTTACAGGGTCAGACTAAGCCTTTTAAACTGGGCCCAGTTGCATCAAGCACAATTACTGCAATAACATATTCAAGCAACACTTTTATACTAGGTTTTTCATATCATTATTAAAACTGGAAACAAAGTACGTAAATTACAGAATGTATTTACCAATCCGAAAAATCGGATTTTTTGTTTCAACAGATGCTGTAAATAAAACAAAAAAAAACCCTGAATGAGGCCAAAACGCTCAGTATAAATTGGTCCTGATCATACATGTAACGTTTGTTTGGTACTGTGTCCTAATGTTACTTATGAATCCACGGGTAAGCGAAACACAACAACTGCAAAATTAATTGATTTCACGAGAAAAAAAGATATGAGAAATAAACATATTGATATATGAAAATAAATCATTCGCACAAAACAATTAAAGTAATTTATTTAATAGAGGCGAATTCTACTTGTTATATATGATCAGGATTTCGTTCTAAGTAATACTAAAGATCACACATCCCTTCGCAGTATAAACTGTTTAGGATAACGACGCGTGTTACGTTTACCTTACAAAAGCTTTCTATTGTGTGTAGTTGTTTATGATCCATTGAACTGTAAGTAAGTGAATATAGACAAGAAGAACAGGGCTACCCCATGCTAGGTTAATTATGACAATTACAGGTAATTAGCAAAATATTGCTTTTGTATCACGTTATTAGTGAAACCAATTAACCTGATTATACGACCTAAATCACTGTATTTTTATGTTACGAGGAGTGCTAGACTCAGCTTCAAATGAACCCTTTATCCTAAAATGCAAATTTTGATTGACAATGCGTTCAATTGGTTTCGGATTTAGAAAACCGTATTTAAGATATTTATTGACATTAGAATGAACTTACTGCGCCAATGCTTACATTCAAATATGACCAAGGTAAGGGCAAATCTTCCCAGCTTTTCAGTATTGTGTATTTCTTTATTGGATGAATTATTTAAAAAATAAGTCACAACCCAATACATGAACCATGGGGTTTTAACATACAAGTCAGCCAGTTAATACATTTTTGTTAATAATGTTCTGCATATAAAGGCTATTTAGTTCATGGCTACATACTCAAAGGAACCTACTTCCTCATCCAACGGACAAAATCTTAAGAAACTTCCGATGTTTAGACAAAAATAATAATAAGGGAACACAAGAAAAAAAAAAGAAAAAAAAACCAGGCATCAGTTGTCTCCAAAAACGTTGGAGGCTGTGCTTAGTGCTTCGAAACTAGTTTCATGTGCATTATGTGGCGGTCGTCATAATATCACGCGTTATCAATTATCAAAGTCTTAGTGACCAATACAATCGGTATGTTGTTTTCTTCTTGACTGTTTATCCTTTGTTTGCATACGTTTTAAGTCCAACACGTCATCAATATATCATACACAAGACTTTCCCCTCATGTGCAACACCCTGTCAGTGCTCAAAAGTACATTTACTTTGCATAACAAGTTTCAATAAATTCTCTACAGCAGCCGTGGGGAAAACTGATGAAAATATCATTGTCTATTATTTCATTGCATATCTACCTCGGGAATATGTTTATCTAAAAAGCAGAGCCTACGATTGACATATACGTATCAGCTAATTTATATATGATATACTGATTGTAATTTCTTTTGTTGAATGCGACTTATTCTGTTATGTGATAGTTTTAACTTTCTATAGTCTTTATTAACATTTGTGATTACTTCTGAAAACATTTTCTGCCGTTAGAAACTGTAAGCAAGTTTTGTCTCGCTTTTCGATGATATGATCCATCCATCCATCCCATCTGCATCCGATTCCATCCCATCCACCCATCCATCCATCCATATTCAAAATCGTACATCAAAACATTTACTATTTAGTCCATTTGTAAATTAGTCATTTAAATGTCATTTGCGTTTTTCCTTGGCCACATTTATATAAACATTGGTAAGGTAAGCCTTTTAGTATATTTATCATGCCATATTTCCAATTGGTCACCTAATTAAGCATACGAATATGTACCACCTACAAGGCACTAAATGTCATTGTCTGAGACACATGTAATTTAATAGCTCCATGGTGGTCTCATTCCCTCTCATTAACGTTCATGGTATAACTTATAATTACGTACCCAGTGTGGGAGAACATCAGGAGAGCCATTTGGCTTTTGTTTTGCTCACATAAATTATTGTTAGATCACATAGAGCGAAAATTATTTTCTTTTTTGTAAAAAACAATACTTCGAGTACTCCTGGAGTGAAGGTATTCATAATTGTACCACACAGTGGATGTATAATACTACCCACGTGATACTTATTTAGTATAAATATGTCAATTCGCCTTGATTTAGACACTATAGCTAAACAAACTTACCATAACTGGAACTAGTAGGAAATATATATCACAGTCATTATGGTTCACACAACAGAACTAGACGTTACCAGTGGTCCAGCAAATGTTGTTGACAGATGTTTAGATGGAATAAACATCAATAACAGTTGTCGACAGGTGTACCTGCGGAGGATGGAATCCATCGAAGAATGTAAAAGAGCAACGAAGAAAACAGATACTCACAAAACAACATCCACCATTGATGCCGCTCTAATGAAACTAAGAATCGAAATGGTAAGCATCATAATTTTGTACAATGTATTGGTGACATTATTGCTATTATTTCATTATCAATCTTTATTGACTGTTCGAATTATATATATATATTCGGAAAGTAATAGAACATATTGACTATACTTTTCTTTTGTTCTCAGGTGGATCTTATGGATCAAGATGTTGGACTGATGAGGCAGATGTTAATCCTAAACGAGAAAGTCGAGGAACTCAAGGCCAACAACATCTGTCAGATTAGCAAGGAATCCCTTGACAGTCAGGACAGTCTGTATGAAGAGGAAGGACAGACAAATAAATACCTCATGCAAAGCCAGGACAGCGTGTACCACTCAGACGAACAGACAGACGAATCCCTGTTTGATAGCAAGGAAAGTCTCTACAACATGGAGAAAGAGACAAGCAAACTCTTAGGGGACAGTGCTGATAGTTTATACCAGACTGACGGATTCTCATCTGATGAAGAGAACAGTGATGCATGTGATATCGAAAGGTCGGTGAGCACAACGGATTCGCAGCCTCACCTTTTATCATATGACTCTTTGTTTGAAAAGTTGCTTAACTTTGACAAAAAATGAAACAGACGACATCAATAGAAACACAGGTATCCCAGCTGTTTAAAACATAATCGAGTATATAGATAGGCGATAAAATGGTGATATTTGACAATATAGTCGATCCATTCCGACATCACCGATGAAAGAACAAGACGGGATCATTTATCATGGAATGGACGAAAAAGGATCATCTAAGAATGAATGTAACAGGTAAGGATTTTTTTAAACATATGTTAACAACACATAAAATAATATTAAAAATAACTATAGTAATTATTTTTTCAATCATCATAGTTTGAACAATATTTTACATATTTCAAAATTCCTCTTCCATATACGCAGTCAAAGTCTACGGAACTCTTTGCTTCAGACACAAATAAAACTACATAGATGTGGAGTTTTAGCTTTTTATGACTCCTGAATATGGACTTATGGAAATGAAATAATGACCTTGAATTATTTTATATTTTTCAGAACACTTGGAGATTGAAAGATACGTCAAAGAGTGAGTGGAGTGCTCCCCGGGAACCGTCATGATGTTGAATGACTGACATCCGCTGTGAAAACAAAGTAGTTATTTTTGCAATTGTTGCAAAATAGAAATTCAAAGTAAAATCATTTCCAGACCATTCAGTTAAAAACGAATATTGTTCGTGAACTTTGTGAATGGATCAGAAGGCATTTGAATAGAACTTGTTAACGATCAGTATAATCATCGTTAGTGATAATTTCAATGGAATGTATATCATTCCCTCTCACCTGATGTAGCAGACACATTCTATTGTGATATACATTATCTTAAACAAGATTGTACATTTCTAACATGACATTTGAGTATTGTTTTGAGCTACAATAAAAAAATATCAATGTGAAACGCGTTTTTACTTATCAGTTCCTTGCTGCTATTTCACATAATGCTACTATATTTGGGGCCTTATTTTGAACTGAATATTTTGTCATCCTGGTGTTGATGAAAACTGTTTAATGTTTAATCACATCAAAACATCTTATTTTTTACCTTTGGAACAAATGGGGTTGATAATGGATGAAGTACAGTTTAAATACACACCCTGTGAGTCAAATAATATAATAAAATTTGTAGTTCAGTTTTCTTGAACTAAATAAGTATTGTTTAATACGACGTTGATAAATGTATTAATAACACATTTAGATATTCGGAAAACCAAACGAGGTTTAAAAATTCAATTTACTCCTAATAAAATAGCCACCGCTGCATCATTAATACTGAGCTGCTTTAGATATCGCGATCACTCTACTGAAATCACATATTTAATTTTATGTTTTACATCACTACATGAATACGACGCTAAGCAGGAAATGTTTAAAAATGTAATACTTAAAGTCATATACGTGTGACAGGTGGCAAAATTTCACAAATCCGATTTAATCACAAATTGTAACTACAATGTACTTTTCTTGATTCGTATGTTTCTTCCGATATTTAGTTTTTGAAACAAATTGTTTCATTATGACAATGTGTGCTAATAAGAGTGACACCATGGAATGGCCAGCAGTGTAGTAAAACAGAGTGGTCCTGTAAGGGAAATTGCAGATATATAATGGTCTGCCATAGGAACCTGAATTTGGAACAAAATGCCGCATGTATTTCTGCAAGGGAATCATATAGGCTCCTTTTGTATATATTTGAACAGCTAAATGGGTGTTTTGTGGTTTGTTACAGATAGTTATGTTACAATGATCTCAAATACAATAATTTATATTAACCCTATAAGTAAATTCGTTTTGAAACATGCATAAAACAGCAAAAAGAAATAATTTCAGTGCCCATGTCAACCGTATTACTTTGTATATACTCTCGACCTCTGCTCTTTAGATGAACCCATTCAGTGTGCAAGCGAAGTACCTATTTATTCTTTCTTTATTGAATGGTTACACGCACTGTAATGTAGTGCTAATATGACTCCAAAACTGACAATTCTTCATCCTTTGTGATATTAATGTTTATTGACGAGTTAGGACACGCGTTGCCGATATCAGTCAATCATGAAAGAGCGATTCTATCAGGTCAAGTCAATGTCGTTATTTATACTACAGACCTCCTCACTAGTATTTTAACACCTTGTCTTCCGACGAGCTGTCACATACGTTAACGGTTATTGTTAAAACAATTGTAGTGATATGTCCACCTCGTTAGCGGTTTTGTATTTACTTTAAACGTTTTTAATAACACATGTATCGGTTTTGAAGCGCTGGAATGTGATGAATAACCTAACATATCATGTCGAGAATTCAAAGCCCTCCCAGATGATCTTTAATGCACAAGATATATACACGACTTTAGAATATTTTAGTTATGTTTGTTACTTTGTAGCACCCTGTTTTATTATCAGCCTTCACGGAAGCCTTCCTCAAATACTTATTATAATTACACGAACCCCAAAAGTAAACTCAAGTTATTTTCCTCATTATTGTGCTACTGTTCAAAAATAATCTTGAGTTTTTACCGTATTTCTATATAAATTAAGTATCATATAAAAAAAAAACCGCCATTGCAACTCTGTACCAGTTATTCTTTTTCTTCAGAAAAGTTGATAAAAATAAAGTTATAACTCTTTGTATTCTATAAAAGGACATTAGCGATAGGGAGTTTTAACTATACATTCACCTTGCTACTGTATGGTACATGGAAGATGTATAGGTCATGTTAAGTTAATGAGGCTAATTAACTCTATTGTCTCCTCTGATGGAATTTAGATAAAGGAAACACGTTTTCCCATTCAGGAGCTCACCTACTAAGATAAATGCCGGTTGTGTCAAAAACAGGTCAAGATAGAAAAATCACTACACATTTTTTTTTGAGGCGGAGGGGTCGCTAAATTGCACATACACAATTTCAATTTCAAAGTGACATAAATTTCATAGGATTAAAATACCCTGTTTCGAAATGGTTCAGACAACAAGATCAACATTGCAGAATAAACCAAAACAAAACTGCCTGCTTTAGACAAATGACTGGACATCATTGGCATCAACAAAGTTTTTAACCAAACTGTGACGTTTTAACTGTACAAACCCTTCGTGTTTTTTCGCGTCATATGATACCCTATTAAAGAATACAAGAACCCATCTACGTGATACTATGTATTTTAACTGGGACAAGTGTTATCGTATAGCTCTGTGGTGGTAACATTCCTTCTCTTTAACATTCACGGCATAATTTAGAATGACGTATACGATGTGGGAGAGCACCAGGAGAGCAGTATGGCTTTTCTTTTGTTTCCAATCATTATTAGATCACATGGATCGAAAATTACTTTCTTTTTGTTTAAAAGCAATTATGATAGATCACCTGGAGCGAAAGTAGTGTTAAGTTTACCAGACAGTAAATATAACACGTGATGTTTTAGTATAAATATGCCAATCTTACTTGACTTAAACATTATAGTGAAATACACTTCTGTACTAAAGTACTGGAACTGGATTGAGATATACGAAAGCATCATGGTTCACACGACAGAAGTAGACGTTACCGTATGTCAATCAAATGCTATCGACAGATGTCTAGATGGAATAGACATTAATAACAGTTGTCGACAGGTGTACCTGCGGAGGATGGAATCCATCGAAGAATGTAAAAGGTCAACGAAGACTGATACTAAAAAGGCAACATCAACCATAGATGCCGCTCTGATGAAACTAAGGACCGAAATGGTAAGCATTAATATTATGTTCCGTGTTTCGATGTCTTCTCTTTGTTTTTTGAAAATGAGAAAAATGTGTACTACCTACATGTTTGTTTATATAAACTAGACTAACAAAAGACATCGTCATCGATTTTATAGACACCTCGTACACAATTTACACCTTTGTTTGTAATCGCTTCATTTGTCATTTGTCTGATGAAGGTGACACTGTACATATCGTACTAGTCATCGCAACGTCACATCGAAAATGTTATTGGTTGTGTAAAAAGAACTTCTCATAATCCGTACTTACCAACCTGAAGAAAATGTTAAAAAACAGATTAACAAAAGTTATAGAATGTGTTGCTAAAACTTGCTATTCGTTTTTCTTTTCAGGTGGATCTTATGGACCAGGATGCAGGACTTATGCGACAAATGTTAATCCTGAATGAGAAAGTTGAAGAACTCAAGGCCAACAATATCTGTCAGATGAGCAAGGAATCTTTGGATAGCCGAGAAAGTCTGTACGAAGTTGACGAAAATGCACATAAACTCTTTACACAAAGCAAGGACAGTCTTTACTTCTCGGACGAGCAGACGGACGAATCCCTGTTTGACAGCAATGAAAGTCTCTACAACATGAAGAAACAGACAAGCGAACTCGTAGGGAACAGCGTTGATAGCCTATATCAGTCTGATGAATTTTCATCTGATGAAGAGAACGTTATTGGTGATATTAAAAAGTCTGTGAGGAAGACGGATTTATTGCCTGACATTGTATCATATGATTTTTTGTTTGAAAAATTGCTTGACTTTGACGACAAAATATGACGACATGCTATGCAACTTAGGACACAGCTACCCCAGCTGTTATAATCCAATCCGATGACTCCATTATCGGTTTAACTGATAATTAAGGACAACATAGACGATCCATGGCGATGTCAGCAATGAAATAACAAACAGGGGTTATTTCTCTTAGAGAGGACGAAAACAGGACAATGGTGGACTGAATGTAACAGGTAAGCAGTTTAAATCAGTTACCTTGAAATGAGGTATCTCTGGTAGATTTGTTTCGACATGGATAATATTAAGTTTATTCTTGTTGTTAATGTTTCAATTAAGGAAATTTGTATAAGTCATGTTTAATGCATTTCTGAATAACCTTTAATAAAAGCGTTCCTATTCTACAATGTTATACGTACAGCTACGTAGAAATGTACTAAATTAAAAAGCTACACGTAACACTAATATTAGAATTTAGGACTGAAAATGATTAATGACAACTATTTACTTCTCTTTTTCAGAATGCATGGAGATGGCATCACATGTCCGTGAATGAGTATCAGTGCTCTCTAGGGAATCGCCATGACGTTAAAAGGAACGAGATTCCCTGCAAAAGACGAGTTGGACGCAAAATAAGAACTAAAATCAAACGAATTCCTGAACTATTCGATTACTATTGGATGTTGTTTACGAGCTTTGTGCCTAGATCAGTCGGTTTTGTATGCAACTTCTCAATATTCCTAGAGCGTGTTTACGTGGAATTACGCTGATAAAGACGACTCAATGTATTCATGATGTTTAGACTGTTTACGGTTTATCGAATCACTGTTAGTATGAACTGCAATGGGATGCATATCACTTTCTATCAACTATGGAAGCAGAAACATTCTATTTCGTAATTTCTATTTTATCATATATTGTTAAATTAACGACATTTGTGTTTTTATGTTTATAATAAAATTGATTGATGTCAAAACATTGGCCTTATTTGTAATTAATAATAAACAGTTGGTGTTTAATTGAATGAGAATATAGTTGCAGCTTAACTTTAGGGATAACTATTTTGCAAATGCCGCTGGCATATTTCAATATTACAAAGGCACTGCAAAAGTTTCATTGGCTACATATTCAATAGATAAACCACTAAAACAAAATCAAAAACAATCTTTTTAAATATGAATATAACCTATTTAAATATTACCAATGACTTAAGTGCTACAGAAGCAGATAATTCAGTATTGTTACACGAAGTCAGGGAGGATAAAACTAAGATATACACAAACAATTAAATTCGCTGTAGGTGAAAACAGGAAAGAAAATAGGGGTATAGGAAAAAAAGAAATGATAACGATAAAGGGGAAATGGAAAGGAAAACGATAAACGAAAAAAACAGAAAAAGATAGCGAAGGGAACATGAAAAAAGGGAAAAGGAATGGGGCAAAGGTGAATACAGTAAATGATAGCGGTATAGGAAAAGGACAGGAAGGGATATATTATGATAACTGAGGGAGCAAATACATTATCGTCCTTTCAAGGAGCCTGAAATATGACATAGAAGCAACATCTTTATTTTCGTAAGAGAATCACATAAGTTGTGTCTATAACAGAAGCTATGCAGAAAAAAACAGCGATATTTATTATTTCTTCCAAAACTGCCTATAGTGAAAAAATTAAGCAGTTGGCAGAAGATATTATGATGTCATCAATTCTATCATAATATATTGAATTCATATACTTCTACAACACATATAAATGGTAATATTTATCAAGAATAATGTGTGACATATACGTCTCACGGAGTGCTAACGTGACAAAGAGAGATACTTTATTTCTGGTATTTAACCAATTATACCTATGGGGTATACACAATTATCTAATTAGCCATTACAAACAATACACACCACACATAAGCATGCCCATTGTCGAACAGACTACGGCGAAGAAGAGTGTCAAGCTGGTTTCCTATAGCATAATGCTAAATTTGACTACAGTTTTGCTTTAGCAAGCAAAAAAGGATTTCTCTAGAAAACAAAATGATTCGGAATAAGAATCATCACTCTGGTATTGTAATTACACGCTTTGTAAATAAAACTATTTGAAATTGTTTTGAGAACGTTTGCGGTCTACATACAGCTGAAAACAACTGACTAAACAGGTGTGGGCCAAGACGGCGAATTCAATAGACAAACGTTAAAATCGTATCGAGAAATTGCCCCTTAATGGAAGAAAGGAAGTTAGAATGGGGTTACAGAAAGGTTTCATTTGGTGTACCCTATTTTTTTTATTCTCTTGTCCTATTAGTAAGATGCAATTTTTATTTTTCAATGTCCATTTATCCCCGCGCCTTTAGTTTGTCTTTCCACGATTGTACTTTTCTGATTTTACTACCATACCATATGCTCTTTTCTATCGGTCATTTCCACGCAGCCTGATCAAAACTCGTTCTGGAGCTATGATATCATTATTCATTTATCAAATTTCTTTTTATAGAAACAACAAACACTAATTTCCTTTAACTTATGAACACATTCAGAAACCGGGTGCTTTCATATAACACGCTTTCTAACTAACCAAACAGAATTCTAAGAAGTTTCGATCGATCGTTCGTCCAAGCTATTATCAATCAGCCAATTAATCAATTAGTTCCAATACATCATAGTAATCAGCAATTTATATCGAATTTTTAATTTGTCTATTCGTCAAGAAAAGCGCTTTGCATTCCCTGTTATGTGTGCAATGTCAAACATTATTTATATATTTATTATGCCATATTTTCTAAATGGTATTGTACACTATCATAAGAAGATCAACCTACAACGCAACACATGTGATTATCTAAGTTACAGGGCATGTGATAGCTCTGTGGTGGTCTCATTCCCTCTCATTTGCATTCATGGCATAATTTGGAAGGCGTTCGCACTGTGGGAGAACATTCCGAGAACAATAGCACTATTCTTTAACTACAATCAATGTAAGATCACCTTTGGCGAAAATTACTTTCCTTTTGTTGAAAACAATATATGTTCAGGTCACCTGGAGCGAATATATTCTAATTTCACCATACAATGCGACACCGTGTGGTACCCATTTGGTATAAATATGTCTATCCGACTTGGTTTAACCACTAAAGCAAATCACACTTACCAGAACTGGAACTAGATTGAGATATACGGCAGTCATCATGGTTCACACAACAGAGCTGGATGCTACCATTGACAAATGTCTAGATGGAATAGACATCAATAACAGTTGTCGACAGGTATACCTGCGGAGGATGGAATCCATCGAAGAGTGTAAAAGGTCAACGAAGAAAGAAGCTTCTCACAAAACAACATCCAGCATTGATGCTGCTCTGAGGAAACTAAGAATCGAAATGGTAAGCATCATCATTCTGTTTAACATTTGATATTATGATGTTCTATTTTGTTCCTACGAATACTAGATAATCAGACAGAAGGTAACATAATTCATATTGACATAAAATAAAATGTTTTAAAGCATAGGTCCATGATGTAATTGAATATTTTATCCAAATATTATTTAAACAGTTTATATTATACATATCTTCTTTGTCACTTAAGGTGAGTTTGATGGATCAGGATGCTGGTCTGATGCGACAGATGTTAATCCTAAACGAGAAAGTCGAGGAACTCAAGGCCAACAACATCTGTCAGATGAGCAAAGAATCCCTTGACAGCCAGGACAGTCTGTATGAAGAGGAAGGAGAGACAAATAAATATCTCATGCAAAGCCAGGACAGCGTGTACCACTCCGACGAACAGACAGACGAATCCCTGTTTGACAGCAAAGAAAGCATTTTCAACATGGATAATCAAACTAGCGAACTCTTTCGGCACACCGCTGATAGTCTGTACCAGACCGATGAATTCTCATCTGATGAAGAAAACATCGATATTTTCGATGTTGTAAAGTCTGGAAGTAAAACGAATCCACCGCCTTTTGTTAACAATAGATGCGTCAGTTGTCAAAAGAACTTAGTTGAGAAGTTTGTCTCATATGACACAATGTTTGAGAAATTGCTTGATTTTGACGACAAGATATAAAGACAGATTACGTTTATTAGGACAAACAGGTATCCCAGCTGTTCAAATCCAATCGGATTCCTAGATAAACCACTCCAGTGTCGATAATGGACAATATTGACGATCTATCCGTCGATGAAGAACCGCCAAGGATACTTTATCCCGGAAAGGAAGAAAAGCAATAACTGCAAATTCTACTGAGGAATGAAGCAGGTAAGTTTAGTATATATAAAACAATGACGATTTACACATGAAGTAGTAACAATTTAATTCTATTTGACATTGTTATCTCAAGTGAGTCGGATTTAGGTATGTTAAATGCATTTCCCAATAAAGCTGTCAATACATTTGCGCCTATCTTTAAAAAATATTTTAATAAGATATTGACTAGATTGGTAAGTTTAACAATTCAACTTTGATATACACATTTTAAACCTAAAGGAAACAATAAATAAGAATCATTTACTTTTATATTTTTCAGAATATATGAAGTTGGTGTCATCGGCAATGACTGAGGGGTAGTGCCAACCATAGCACTCCAATTACTAGACTGACATCCTCTGTGAAAAAACAATGGGGTGGTCCTTTTTGGAACTGACGAAGATAAAGACTCGAAATAAACGAACTGCTGGATCATACAGTTTCAACTTGACAGTGTTCGTGAACCCTTTCCAATTGAACTTCCAAATATATTTGCGGAATTGTTACTCGCAGTCTTGCTGATATGGACGTTGTTCTGTGTTTGTAATATTTAGACAGTTTACAGTTAATGGATTCACGGCTGCTATGAATACAACTTATACAATTTTTTGACCTCCCACCTTTTCCTTGTGGATATTATATTAACTAATACAATTTGTATGTGACATTTGAAATTTTATGCACTGAAATAATAAAAAAAATAGTAATCAGTACATAGTTGCTCCGAGTTCCTATATATATATAGCTTTACTTTGAAATGGGCAATTATGCCATTCCGATGCTATTTTGTACTATTAAAAATAGATATTTTGCGTTAAAAACGTCTGATCAATTACATGTTTAATAGGTAATCTTTCAATAAAACAACAAGAAAACTGTTCGTTTTAGAATGGATATATATTGTGATACAGTTGATGTATTTGCTGCGGCTAAAGTGATGCAAAAGATACTATAATTCAGTGTCCTTATAGGAAATAGGCATTATAAAGCAGAACTTCAGGGAAAGTTGATAAACGACTTACAGATAATCATTTAATAATATGAAGCATGTACTTAAACATTGCGGTAGATGATCATAAATTATAAAATAAAGATTTTCATATAAACTTTTAGAGATATTTAGGTACCAAATAGTTTAATAAAAACAAATCTGTTAAAATAATGGATAAACAATCAAACACTGATGACAATTGAAAGTTATTTTTCTAATTCCTTTTGGAAAAGGAAACTTAACAAAACCATGTAAAAAAAAGGATTAAATCAATCCTTTTTGGTTTCATCTTCGCTAGCGACGGGTTACGATCCGGTACGATCCGGTCTTCCTAGAGTAGGACGACCGGATCGTACCGGATCGTAACCCGTCGCTAGCGAAGACGATTTTATTTGTTCTAATTGATTTTGACGTTCAAAGGAAGTTATGTGTTCTAAGAGTGACACAAAGGAGACTATCAAAAGATTATAAAACAAGAAAATATGTGTTGTTGTAACGGATGCTGCAGATATATTTTCGCTTTTTTAATAGAACCCTTTATTTTATCGAAAGACATTAGTCGGCTATGAATATAGTGCTATAGGACAAAGTGGGCAATATAATTAACAAAATCAGCCCACGGAAATTTGTTTTGCAGTATGCGGCAAGTATTACAATAACACCAGTTATTGTGTATTGTTCATAATTAATATGTTAATACAATACCAACATATGGGAAGGGGGGATAATCAGGAATGTGTGGCACACATTTGTTGAGCTAATTGGTTTGAAAAGAAAGAGAAATCCACGTGGGGCAAACTTGACATAGAAAGAAATATATTTTTGGTATGTTAACCAATTATCCCTATGGGGTAGACACAATTATCTAATTAGCTATTGGAGACAATATACACATCATTACCATAATCAGTTGTCGTACAGACAACGCCGAGTATTAAGATAGACACATACAGTATATTTGGAAAATATTGATCTACATTTTGCCAAAGTAAGCAAAATTCTTGGGGGAATAAACTGGTTATGATTCTAAGTAAGAGAAAAAAGAACACTAACACCATAAATCTCTGCTTAAAATAGTTAACTATTTTATATAAATTTTCAACATCGAATTTATTTCGCTTGTAAAACACACTTAATGCTATATTTATTTGCTAGATAGTATCTTCATGTGGTTCAAATCCTTTAGCATCGATTTCCTTAATGTTTAAAACTTAAAATTTTATAGAGAAGTTCGCAATAAATAGAGAATAATGACTCAGAAAGACAATAAATGTATAGGGATAGTAATATTAGAGAATATTGTTTATACGTAATACTACATTATCACGTTTATTCTTTGTTATTTATTACGAAATAGAAGTTTTTCACTAGACGGCAGGTGAAATGAAAGATCTATTGAATTCAATTTAGGAACTCTAGATATTTCTCTTTCCAAAAATTCGGGAAAAAAGAAATATCGGGACTGCATTACTAAAAATATTACCGATAAGCTTCCTAATAACAAAATGTTAATTTAAATATAGTTGATTAGCGACTTCTAGTGATCGGTCAACTATGTGTATCAACACTGTACAACATCAAGATCAACATTTCTGATAACGCCTCGATACACACGTCAATAGCTCGTCTAGTTGTTTCATTATTTAAGGGTTGTTTATTACGGCGAATCGATTGAAAAGCACTTGTCAATCTTTCGTATCTTTTTATTTAGAGTCATTGTTCGCTGTTGGAGAGCTGACTTGATTGAGATCATTTGGCCTGATACCTGTTTGATATACTGGGCTATCGACATAAAATCCTATACAACACGTCAAAAGGTCTACCCCACGTAGAACCACATATATGATAGACATTATGTAAAATACGCCCCTGAAAACCAATAAAATGATACATAGTAAGAGACAACGTTATTTTTCATGGCTGATTCTTGAGATACAGAAAAAATATTTTACCGACTGCTGTCACGAGAATGTTTCCTTATAGTTAGATACAGTATTTTGGTGTATAATTGTATAAACGGGCTAATTGAGTATCGCATACTAAAATAGGTATATTGAACACTTTTCGGAAAAGGGAATTCACCTGAGTAAAATCAGATAATAGATTAACTAACTTTAGGGGGAAACAATTGCGTAATAGTAAGATAAAGATATAAAAGAATATGGTCAGAAAAATTGTTTAGAGCGTATGATAAAATGGAGCTAGAGGAATACACGAAATACCGTTGGGCGTAGTATAGGAAAACAACACTGCGTATTATATAGGCTTGACTATAAACTGATCGGACCAACTGACAAAACAGAGATTGCAATGATATCAGAATGAAATGAATAAGAAGGTAGCTCCGTGTATCGTATATGTGTATATAAAATAAAAGCTCATATCTGAATTACGGATGTTCACAGATAACATTTTTTGGTAGTATTAAGATATTTCTATTCAGAGCTCAGACTACATTAAACCGGCATATCGGAAAATTAAATCAAATTGCCTTTACGCCATTTCCGATCAACACGGACTCTGACATTAATCTCTGGTGAGAACTAATTCGCTGAACAAAAGCAATAGAAAAGCACACCTTAATTCGATTCTGTACGTGAAGAACAGCTGATAATTTTAAAGTAAGTATACATGAAATCATTAACAATTAAAGTAAACACACATTAAATGTGTCTTGTAAAGTTTTCCAAATAGTATACGAAAAAGCAGGTGGAAGAAGAGAAAAAATTGAATCAATCTGTTAAAATTCTCAAATTTGCTTCATCCGAAGTACACAAGTCTACCCTGAGAAGTAGGGTATCACGGCAGCAAAAACATAACAAACAAACAACGACAAAACAAACCGACATTCTGCGATCAAAACTTCAGAGCTAAATAGATCAACAAATAAACAAACAGATAAAATACAATTCAGAAATCCTTGCTGTTCCTCTGATTATTCCCTTTTGCACAATTAAACGGAAAGAAAAGACAAACGCACACATTGATAAGTTCTATCAAAGACAGTTTGCTTCAAGTCTACAAAATTCTAAAATATATGACAACTTCATTCCCCTAGCATGGTAAGATACTTTGTTGACAAGAGACCAGACATGAAATGTACAGAATGCCGATAGTTTATGTGTGTTAGTCTGGAATACCCTTGTAATACAATATAACTGTAAGTGTTGTTGACCATATTTTAACAGAGTGACCTTTACCTTGCTACACACCCAGGGGATGTTATCAAAATGACACAATACCAATACTTATCATACGGAACGAACCAAGTGACAAACGCCTGTTAGTTCATTGTTTCTGGTTGACGTGTCGATAATCTACCATATTCAATACATTGATCGCCTTGTTTTATTGCGTGATGGCTAACATGCTCTAAATCTTCACCAGGTTGTGGTATTTGAATTATAATATTGCTATCCTGCGTTATTAAAAACAATACAAACTAATGAACACAAAGAAAATATCTGAATGAAACAGTTATAAATTTCTCTTTCAATCATTTCGAAAAGATTTGAGATTACAAATTTTGTGACGTAAGATTTGTGTCAGATTTTAACCGATCAAAGCATTCAATCTCAGTCAGTTCTATGCATTCGCTCACAAACATTTATATAAATAATATAGTTTATCTGTTACCATTAATTAAGCGTGCACGAATTAGCATGCATTTTCTACTAAAGTTCATAGATCACGTATCACCAAGAGTAATGCAGTTATAAAACACGTTAGCTGCTTCATGTGAAATGAAATGGTTAATTCATAATTTCATAGCATGTCGTATCATAAATATTTTCAAATCATAACATTTTGCGTTTTATATCAAAACAAAGTTACACTTCTTTCGTTGTCAACATGGGTAAATAATCTAAAAGTTATACCCATAATTTTGTTTTGCATCACACCTTTTCTATAGAATATTATATTTCAAATTTTAATTTTGTGTCATAAAAAGACAGTGGGTATATGATAAAGCGGCTAGTGCCGTATCAAAACTACTGTTTGAAGATTTTTGCCATTTAGCCTTAAATCCTTTTTTTCACACATCTTTTACATACACTTGCTGTCGCTGAAATATCGTGATAGTGTGTACATGTTTTTTCTTCTTACTTTAGAGTGAATCTATTAGAAGCGATGATATACTCTATAATTAGCCCAAGTCAATTGTGTATCTTAAAGTTATGAATGGTTATCCAATATAGGTAACTGAATAGGATAATTGATATGATATTGATCATATCATTTATGTTTTAATAAAATTAAGAACTCGACCAGAATTTATATTCCAAATAACTATATTACTGTACTAGTATCATATGAAATATGAATATACTTATTTGAGCAAAAACTGTTACAGCGTTATATTTAACCTGATTTCAAGTGATCTTGATCCGACATTGCCCGAACTTAGACACTCTTAACGCCTAATCCTAGCATTAGATCTTGACCGTATACCCCCTGTGTATACCAAGGCACGTAATGATAGAACATGCTCATGGGTCTTCCTTCCCCTGAACTTCCCGGGGTATGTGATCGATATGGTCTGTTTTAACACTGATCGTTGGAGATACACAGATATATAGCTGTCAGTTGATTGTTAGTCATTGTAAGAGTGTCAATAAAGGAGAGATTTAACAGGCTGATACCTACACGGTAGAGTTATTTCACCGATAAATAGATAGATTCCATGTCAAGACGGGCACGCTAACAATTAGGTGGTTTGACGAATATTTCAGAAATTCGGTTGACCGGATGGGGCGTCATATTCTATGTCTAAGCAATGACGTTTCAATGCAATGGGACATTAAAGCGGCTATTGGCTTGCTACATCCTCTGTAAACGCCATATGTCAATAGCGAAGAGATAAAATCCAATAAATCAATTAGTCAAGGTGTTTTCGCACACGGTTAAAATTAAACCAAACACAAACATGTATCATAAGGTTTATACACATTTTATGTAATGAAATCCTAAAATTTGCTAAAATTCACAGACAAAATCAATCAGAGGTGGTGATGACAATCAGTAAAACCTGATTATCAAAGCTAAACTGTACAAATGAATATGACTCTCATTTAACACATCGTGTTCATTTGGTACCATAATGTAAAAGGGTAATTAATTGAAAACATTACCCCCGACGACCCATATTCTACACCTCCGAAACAAATAATATAAAAAAAGATGATTTCAGGGTCAACTTGTTACTTGCAAACAAGTAGATTCTGCAGTTCACTTCATGAACTATATACAAGATACAAGAATCTTCATTCAACGTCGCATACAGGTAAACAAGGAACATAAGCTCCTGAGAGCTATTATTGCGACAAACATAATAATTCAACTATATATAAAGTATCATCATTAAAAATAACATTAGGCGAAGTAAGGTCGTCTCAAAATATACAAATAGAATTAATCAATTATATAATGGTACACTAGATTGTGCCAACTCAAAGTCGTAGACAATTGCCAGTTATCTATACTGCACTATATTTTCAGATTGTTTTCAAGTAACGTTGCCAATGCATGCTACTCTATTGTTTTAAAGTCGACCTTGCAGTTCATACCAGGGGGCATATTCCCCCAGGATGCGCTCCCTGTAGACACCACATTGATGAGTTAGATGTAATCAGATTAATTAAATCTAAAGGACGAGCTGCACCCGATCCAAGGTGGTAACATAGACGTCATCGCATATCTCACTGCCCATCGCCCAGGGTTTAAGTCAATACAACATTTAGACCAATCAGAGATGTTCTTGTGACTCAGTGGTATATAAGGCCAGAAAGAGGTACGAGGCGTCATAACGACTTTCCTGTCTCGGGAACAACTGAACAAACCATATAAAATGGCGCTGACGACACGACAGACCGTGGATTGTACCGATGCCTATACGGCCTCTATAGATTTGTCCAACTCTTGTCGGGAGTTTTACTTCAGCAGACAGAGGTCAACTGAAGAATTCAAGGACAATGTCTGCAGAGACAGCCACTCGACAAAGCCTAAATCATTCATGGATGATGCTATGGCGACGCTAAGAAAAGAAATGGTAAGCTTTTAAAAAAAATCTTTTCTCATTATATGCCTAATGCTACATAATTACATTTGCTTTACTAAAATATATTTTGCGAATACAAAAGATAAAAACATCCTTTATTTAAATAATTGAATAGCTGTAAGTTATACTTTTTCCGGTTATGGTTTTGAAACATTTCCCCCCGTCATTTTTCATCAGCCTCCGCCTGGAAACATATATACTTACCAAGTACCTATTTTTGTGTTGCAGGCGAACCTGATGGACCAGGACTTGAATCTGATGAAGCAGCTTCTGACCATGAACGACACCATTGAAGAGATCAAATTCCAGCGTTTCCATGGTGGCAGCAAAAACTTGTCAACGAGTTCCTGTGACGTCTCTGATTCTGACTACGACCTCCGGTCATTGCCATCCGTATCTTCTCTTCCCTCCATGGGTTCCGTTCCGTCTATGTCTTCACTTGTATCAATGTCTTCGTTGCCTTCCGTTTTCGATGAAAATGACTACCAGTGCGTCTCTGACGAGGAGTTGGAAGACGAATATCTGTGTTCCGAACTGATTGAGGAAAATGTGAATACGAACATTGTGTCTGGCAAATGGGAATCATTCAGTTCCAGAAGAGACACCCACGGATCTATTGACTCTGGATTTGGTGACTCACAAAGTTCAGACGAAAGCACGGACAGTGATTCAGAATGCTAGACTTGCTTACCTTCGACTCAGTACATATATGTACGTTGTTTATAACAAGGAGATTATTAAACTTTCTCCGCAAACATTTTAACTACGACCTTTCTAGGTCTGCCATGAACTTTATACATTCAACGCATTGACGCCATGATGCAATGTAACGACTGCGAAAACTGTCTTTGACATTAAACATTTACAATATATGACACTTATATCGTAATATATTGTATTTAACTGTGAGTAATTATATTTTGTTGAATAAACGTTACGTACTTAGTTCATGTAGTTAAACTACAGTGTGTTTTACAATTGCAAGCAATTAATTGTATCGTTCATGTTTTTCATTCATTCTTCAGCGGGACTGAGGTCTGTTTGATATCAATGTTTATACATGTAAATGGTTTTATCTACCTCAGCTGTTAACTGATATTGTGACCGGTCATTGTCATTTGTCCAATCTGTCCTAATAATATTCACGTATATTTGTTATAGAAAACTGCCAATCAATACATGTATGTTCTTCATGAATCATTGACCTAATAAAAACGGCCAGTACAATTCACTTTAGATTTCTTGTTTTATGATTTGATTTTCACAATAACATTTTGTTTAGTGAGAGATGCACACTTCGATGTTTTCATCGTTAAATGAGCAATGGGAACATAGCAAACATCCTAATTTTATGACGGTTAGTAATTTTTTGAGAAGTCAACTTTCCGATGTTTAATTCTGTAAATTATGGCAAAATCTTTACTTACTTTGGAATTCCAATAGATAAAAAAATCGAAATGTCTTATATGGATATATTTTTCCTTGGTCATAAAGAGGGATTTTAACGCCTGCTTTACAATATGAATTAAACAGAGACGGGAATATAACAAATACAACACACTAGGATAAAAAGTTGATTTTTGATTTTTTTTTTATCATAGCGATGGCGTCGTGTAGAGATGCAAGGTCAAAGAAATAAAAAAACATATGGTGTTTTTTTGCAATAGTACACACATCGCGTTTCCTATAAGTCTATAAGTTCTGGGCCTCATACATACTCATAAATATACATACAGACATTTACATGTATACATTATGAATAATGAACGTCTTTAGAAATATGAACAACAGTCAATAGGCATTATATCAAAGTTTTACTTTTTACATCAGAAAGGTTACAGGTAGGGTGTAGATCTAGCTTCCTCCCCCTGTAACCTATCTGATGCAGTGTGTATACGCTCCCTATCGATAGGCGAAACGTCCCTGGTCGAATGACATACAAAATTAACAATTTTGTCACATCGTTGTACAGGTAAACAATACAAATCGCTCACTCAGTCACATCTTGTCAAAGGGACCAGTCGGTATTGAAATGTTGCGACACATTTAATACGTACATTGTTTGTGAAGAAAGTAAAAATTTGATATACATATTTCCAAACAGATGAATCTTATTGAAGATAGTTAATAGGCATTGCGTTTTGGCACATTAACAGAATTTTTAAGAAAATCAATATATTAAAATGATTAATACGAAATTGCGGATTTATGAAATCTAAATCGTAGTCGTCGTAAGTGTAACATAAAGTCATAAAACATTGTATTCTTAAACTCAACATCAACAAAATTAACGCGATTAAAGCGAACATCGCAAGAAAAGACAATGGTAGACCTATTTTGGCCCACATACATGCAGTCACATTTTGGCACCAGTTCTTTCCGATTATTTTCTGAGTCATCTGTAAATACATAATTGTCTGAAGATAAGTTTTCTAACTGAGTTAACTGGAATCTTTGTAATGTTTTACGTGGGGGAAGAACGGTAATAATGTGGCCTTCAATTATTGTTGTTTGATATGAACCATTTTCTCTATCCAGCCCATAAACGTCTGCAAGTTAGAACTGGCAAAACTACCTCAGCGGTAAAACACACAAGACCAAGAACGTAGTTTAAAGCCGATTCGGTCAATTGTTGAGGCATCAACATAAAAAGAATAGACATTTTCGCAAAAACAGGAGACGATAAGAGGTAGCAGAGAAGGGAGTTCCTGTTTGACATCAATTCGATGTATTAAGTTAAGATTTTTAAGCAGTTTTGTCCTTACTTACATAGTTCCGCTGTTAATTCATAAGAACATCTACTGATAGTCCAAGATAGGACTACATGTATCATCTAGACTGACAATTATGCAGTAATACGAATTAACAGATATTATTTTGTAGCTTCAGCACAATTCAGCTAGAATTACTATTGACAGGGCATCCAATGAAATGAGTATACATTCATTTCATGATCGCTAGTATTACAATTAATAAATTACATTATAATTTAAGTGGACGAACGCCAACAAAGGCATGTGCGGTACATATATGCTTGTCTGCTTTTTCTGTTTCAAGGGAGGTAACTCAACAAAGTATGGAGTTAGAGAGTTATTCGTAATTAACAAATGTCTAATTGCTGCAATTGTTTACTCTGTGCAGTTTTTAAAGACAGTCATTTATTGTTTAGAGTTTCCTATTTCAACAAACTATTTTTATTTTTAACCTACTTATTTAAAGATAGAAAATAAACCAAACAAAGTGTACCAGAACTCTGAATGAACATATCGTAAATTGAATTCTGAACAAACGATGTAACCAAATTTTGCGTTTAATTGTCGTTTTTATGAACGTGTCAAAAATCTGACATCGACATGATTTCACCCTGCTCAAAGGGACAATTAACATGGCTTGATGTTAAATAAAATATACATAAAGTAACTTTTCCTACGTTGTCTTTGTGACACTATCTAACCGAGTCATAGGAGGCAACTCGTATACTTATTTACTGGCTGCGGTCAGGTTTACAATTTCGGACTCTGTCTTGAACAAACTGTATAACCCTGTTTTAACCTGAACCGGCCTCCTTCTGAATCCGTAGAAAAAAGTGACACCGACGCGTTTATTCAAGGCCTCAGAATGCAATCAAGATATAATATGATCTACATTATTTTTGTTGACTGCTTTGTTATGAATATCGGCCTCATTTAGTATTTAGTATATTTTATAAAACTCGACTTTCAACTGGCTGTTTTGCAGGTGTCAAAAACCTGTCACCGACACAATTTATCCATTTCCGGACCGGTATCTCTCAGTTATTGTTATATCATCTAGGTTAGGGTTTATTATTTTTAACTTATTCCAACCTCTGAAACACCCTTATTAAAAAACTGACATCAACGCATTTCATCACTTTCGGGAATACAGTACTTGCATGTTCATGTAGCTTGTTTTGGTATAATCGAAAAAGTCATCGGGTTCTTTTACATGCTGCATTAAAGTTGTGGTGTTTGCCTCTATCAATATATCCTAGTTTACTTTAATACTCAAATCCACTGAACCTGTCAAAATATTTGGTATTGGTATGTTTTACCACACAAGATAATGTATAGAGGTTAACTTTACTGGCTGCGCTCAAAGGTTTGGTTCAGAGTGTGAGTTTCTTTCAATATTGAACCATTTCTCAAAGTTTCCTAGGATCTGTGTTTAACCGCCGTTGTTTTGAACCCCTCAAAAATGTTACAACGACACGTTTGCATTATGGGTTTTAGCAAATACAGTACTTGCCAATCTGTATTTATTTTAGATGTAATTTATAATAAATGCAAAATGTAGACAGGAAAAACATGAGAGCGTAATTGCAAAACAATCATGTCTGAAACATGTACTTTAAATATTTTATAAACACAGTGTTGAATTTTATTTAATTTTGGGAATGATATATGCAGATGGATAAAAACTTACATACTAATGCAATCTCTTCTATTAATCAGGGAGGAAATCTTTTTTTTTGTTTTCGAAATTAAAAGGGGCTGTCGTCAGGACGATCCAATCGCACCTCATACATTTATTCTAGGTATAAAAGTACTTGCAATAAGATGTAGACTTAATAAGAATACTAAAGACATTGATGTAGATACTGTTCCTACTTTATTAGCTCGGTATGCAGATGATACATCAATTATATTAGATGGTACAAAAAGATCTATGAAATAATCATTTAATGAATTAAACAGTTTTGCAAAAAATTCTGGATTAAAAGTAAATAAAAGTAAAACACAAGTTGTTTGGATTGGCAGTAAAAAATATAGTAATGATACTTACTTTTCAGAGTGGAACTTACAATGGGGAATTACAAAATTTACAGCTTTAGGCATTATACTTCATGTGGACTTGGACCAAATTCCAAAACTATGATACAAAATTAGTAAAGCTCAAGGCATTAATTAAGATATGGAATAGAAAGATTTTAACACCATTAGAATATTATAAAGTCTCTTCTTATATCACACTTTAATCATCTTTTTTATTTATTTACCAAACCCAGAAGAATGCTTTATTAAAAAACTGAATACTGAACTTTATATTTTTTTATGGAACAGTAAATCAGATAAAATAAAAATAGACACTGTTATTAAGAATTATCTGGAAGGGGGACTCAAAATGGTACATTTACAATCATTTATAGAATCTCTATAACGGCTATATACAACAGAAGGAAAGTGGCAGATTTTTTTAAGCTATATGGAAATAGAAATATTATATCTAATTGTGGTACTGATTATATGTGAAAATACCGGAAGAGTTATAAAAAATATTTTTTGGAAAGATGTGTTATCAAGTTGTTGCAAGCTAGCTAATAAAAGTTGTAAATTTTAGAAACAAAAAGGTAAATATATTTTCAAATCACCAATTTGGTAGAACAAATCAATAAAAATACAAAACAAGAGTATATTTAATAGGGAATGGTAACCATAGTTTATGACTTAATTAAAGAAAGAAGAAATTGTTTTACAGCCATCAAGAGTTTACAGAGAAATTTTACATTCATACCAATTTTCTTACTTATCAAGGTATCATTAATTCCATAAAGAAATCCATTTCACAGGAGGATTTTCTAATTTGAATGTAGATTATCCATATATCCCAATTAATTTGGAATTTTTTCTTAAGCACAAAAAAGGAACTATCGACGTTTACCAGGTTTTATGCCAAAATAATATAATTTTTACCGGTAAAAAGAAGTGGGAGGAAATATTTGAATTTAACACAGAGATATGGAGGAAAATCTATACCATTCCCTTCAAAATTAGTAAAAACACAAAACTACAGTGGCTTCAATATAGAATCTATCAACAGATTTTAACTACTAATTCATATCTTTATAAAATAGGTCTTGTTACTAGTCCATATTGTTTTCATTGTAAAACTGATACGGAAACTATAGTTCATGCATTATGGGAATGTAAAGAAGTACAAGTGTTTTTAACAAATTTTGAATCATTGCTAGATGTGTTATGAATTCCATTTGCTTTTAATAAAGAATCTTTTATCTTTGGTATCTATGAGAGAAAAAACAATGTTGATAGTTTAGTACTTATTATTATTAAACTGTATATTTATAAGGCTAGATGTCTGCAAACTGGTCTATCAGTTTTAGCTTTGAAAAACCTGATCAAAGATATTTACAAAAATTAAAAAAAAAAAAAATATTGCTGTAGGTAATGGTGAAAATTATCTCGCTGATTTTAAAAGGAAATGGAAAAAATTGACACGGAATTGAACAATAAGCCCTTGTCAAATCCTTCGACACCTCTCCAACCTTCCTTTTCTCTCTTGTCCCTTTCTCTCTTTGTTACTCTTTTTTCTCTTTCCTATCTTCTTCTAAAACAGTACAATGGTACATAACACTTGCTATCCTGGTTTCAGCATGCAACAATAGTTTAATTGTTGTGGGTTTTTTTGTTGTGTTTTTGTTTTTATTTTTTATTTGTTTGTTTCTCACCTACAATGCATATAATATTGTTCTATGTATCTTGTTTCAAACTTATATAGAAAATAATTGTTTTTCTGAATTTGTATCTAGTAGTTTGATGTAATAGATATGAGAATGTTAAGGCAAACAAAAAAACTTGTGTGAAAATTAAAAATGTGTGACTGAAATATAATGTGTTATGTTAAATGAACTGTTGAAAAATTTCAATTTAAAAAAAACCCTCTTTAAACATCATTATATAACATATATTATTAAAAACTAACGATAAAAACAGATTAACAAAATCCATTTCAACAAACAAAAACTGAAGGCATTTCATAATATGAATGAGTGTAGTATTTTGCAAATTGTTACAAAGAAAAAAAGTTTGTTTCACTTTATGTTTAACGAACTATGTGTAAAATGACTAAAACAAGATAACTACAATACATTCTAACAAACAACAATGAGATACAATATTACATTAGCTGTTAATAGATTGTATAATATACACGCATAACACTAATCTATAAATATAATTTATATAATTATAAAACTACACAGAGTTACCTGGTGGGACGAACATACATCATGTTTAGCGGCAGCCTTTTAATGAGAGAAGAACAGTACTCTGGACCTTCTCTACTTCACGTACCATATCTACGAATGTGCCTACCCTCCGTCAAAAGCTTTGTGATATGGCATGTATACCTTTAAGTCTTTATTATTTTAGCAAAGTTTGCCAATATTTACATTTTTGTATACGTTTGGTCACTGTCAACAATTTCTTTCCTGTTTGTTTCATCCAAGTCACTGTCAATGATTTCTTTCTCATTTGTTTCATCCGAGTCGTTTGAGGCACCTATCGGGGAAGGACGTTCTGCAAAGACATGATTCTGCCTATCTATCAATTCAGAGTAAATGATCGGTCTTGCTATTGCACCTTCGTCATGTGCATGACTCGATGTGCTGCTTTCGTGAAAGACATGATTGTGACGTGGTGAAGGTAGTTGTGATCTTCTGCTTCTGACACTGTCATTGGCGACGCTATTGAGCGATAGATATGTGGATTCTGGATTTCTGATATTTGCATTAAAATGTGAATTCACATTTGCATAACTGCTTCCGGTGGAGATTGTTTCTGGGCAGTCATACGACTGTTCCAGTTCATTACGAGCCATACGTTGGTATTCGTGCCCACTTTCAGCATTGGTCATGCCAAATATGTTCAGATCACATAACTCCACATCCACCGTTGCCATGGCCCTGCCCAATCTTAGTGAGAGATTGGGATCGGTTCGGATTGCTGATAGCGTTTCATACCATTGCTCTTTCTCATCGTCAACGCTTCCTCTAAATAATAAATACATAGTGTGAGGACTATATTTTATTTAACAACATACATTATCATTAATATATACAAACCAGATTTTGAAAATTTCTGAAAAAAAATATATACTTGCCGTATACTGTACCATGATATTTAAATGTTCTGAATAGGCAACAAAACTGTATATACCAAACAAGTGTATGTGTAGACGAGCCATGTAATGCTATTTCTCTATTGATATTTCTTTTCTATTTATTATTCAGAAGGAACAAAAGCATGTTATTTCAACAGGCCTTCCGTTTAATAATCATGCAAAACTTTCCTTCATAATTAAAAACGGTATGTAATATAATTGATCTTATTGCACGTGATAAAACAACCATCCTGAAATAAAGGCTTTGTTAGTATTGCTATATGCTTACTTATAATAAGTAAACGTTTATATTCTATTAAGAAATCCAATAACATTATATATTAGTATTGTTTACAATTAAAACGTAACAAATTAAAGAATAACGAATATAACTATTCAAACAATTTTAGTTTTTTTTCATTATGAAAGTATACTTATTAAAAAAAAAGGTTTATCATATGTGAGTACCTCTCTTGGGTTGATCTCAACTCCAGCACGTCAAGAAGTCCTCGCATTTTGTCATGCCCAAGGCTATCTATCAAATTCCGTATTGGATCTTGAAACTGAAAATGATAATATGCATATTGAGTGTGTTAAACTACTTTAAATCACAACACACTTACAGTTCGAATTTTATTTCATTTATATATACTAATAATAGCACTGCTGTGTGTAGCGGTTCTAATTTCTTGTTTCTCTGAATGACCAAACAGGTGAAACGCAGGCTGAGCTTTTGCTTGTATAGGTCTTCTCTCGGTAGGTTTCAAATATTGCTAATTAAAAGCATATTCGGGAATAAAATATTTTGCTTATTTTCCGTGAAACTAATATGTGAATCAAAGTGCAAAAATGGTTTAGTAATGCCTTTTGGCTGTAAAAGAACGATAACCTACAGGAACAATACAAACTTATGACCATGAACACATACTGTTACATTAAAATGGACTGATACTTTTTTCACCAGAATTGCCATACAATTTTGAAACAATTCAAATAGAAACTCAGAACCGGACCTGTTTATGATATATATTGTAACTAGCCCTATGTTTTAGGATAAGTATTGTGCTGACGTTGATTTCCATTGTGCTGAAGGACCTCAAATGTAAAGGTTTACAGAGTATGTACGAATTGAAATTGCAACAAGATAATACATCGCAACAATAGGAATCTGCTAACGTTGCAAGTGTCAGACTTGCGCCTATCTTTTAAGTATATTGTAACTTACCGTGTTCAGCCCAGTGCTGATGTAACTAACCGTGTTCAGTTCAGTGCTGATGTCGACTTCCATTGTGAAGGTTGTTTGAATCTTCTTATCACATTTAGTTAAATGACGGGTGTTTTCCACATCGATGACAATTGGTAATCTGTCGCAGTACCTCTTCTCACATTTCAGATACCAGTTTATACAGTAACACAGTTCGTGATCTCTGTGCCAGCATCTGATCAGTTCTGCAACGTCCACTACCTTGAATACATAATGGAGCAAAATATTTAGTAAATGTTAAACAATAAATCTTATAAAATATTCCACATTGAAATATTAACATCGACAGGAAAAGAATACAACCTACCTTACTGAAAGAGTTTTGAAATTATTTGAAAGTGTCAAACCTCTAACCAACTAGCACAGATTGCATCACGTCGTCTTTACATATCATTGATTTGCAATATTTTTATGAACAAGAGACCTCAATTTTTGATTGATATGGTATCTTAAAATGTAAATATAAAGATTACCTGTTCAGGCTGATAAATTGGACATTGATCTTCCCCTCGTTTTATGTGTTCCCACTTAGGGCATCTCTCTTCCATCAGTGTTGATAGCCTGCACTTTAGAAATCCGCTTTTCGTCTTTGAATTTGGTTTCTTCAGCAAATGGATTTCACCACCTTCGATCACATTGAATCCTTTCTTCTTATCGAGCTCGTTTTCATTTTCCTTCAATAAATACAAAGTGACACATGTCAAATATTGATGTAATTAAAATCCTAAATTAAATATGGTTTTCCATTAAGGCAGAACGTGCGTGAAACGCGACTAAAACTGATCTGTTTATTTTTATGTATCAAAACAACTCAAACAGCATTCTTTTGATTCAGACACACCTGTCATGGTCATTACACACACCACCCTGCAGTAACTAGGATATTATTTGACCACGGGATGTAGACCTTTAGTTTGTATGAGTTTGGTCAAAATTAGGTAGTCTCCCTCTCAATGAAAGAGGCTTTGGGGAATATTTGCAGAATAGCAATACTTCATGCATATATGATAAATTATTGCTATTACAGAAGCCTTACCATTTCATGTTTTATTTCTTATCAAATAATCACTTTTACATTTACCTCTCGCTTTTTTAACCTGTTCTGCAATCCTTGGAAAAACAATTTAATTTGTAATGTAGGATATCCGTCAATCACACCAACACGAGCACATGTTTGTGCCGAGAGTTCGAATCGGATATTAGATTTACAGCACGTGCAGAAGAACAGAGATAAATGATTTGTGTACACCCTGACAGTACCAATATCCAACAACGAGTAAAAACAATCCAAACTTGACGATGTAGGGTCCTTCTCATATGGAATATCTTTCACACTTGCAAACGACGTCAGAGGCGTTGAAATTCAGTGGACTCCCAGGGACGAAAATGTTTCAAATTTACAAAGCGGTAGATCTAATATTATATGACCATGTAAGTGTGCTTTAGATAATAAAGTTACTTCTGCAGCTGGTGACAATAGCATTTGATAGTTTTTTATTTTCAATTCTGATGCCAGAACCTTGAAATTATCATGAACACTACAATACAAAGTGTGCTTTGATTCCTGTTCGTTTTGGTTTGAATATTTACGGAAACCTACACTGACACCGGTTTCATTAATATGAATTTGATCTTTCAATGACGACAGCGCTTTTCTGAAATCCCACAATCTCCCAAACATATCTTTGTTATTTTCATTTTTGCATAATTTGGGATCGAGATCAATTGAACAACAAGTTTCGTATATTTCTGGGTAATTATCATCTTCTTTGATATGCAATCTTATATCATCTGTTTCAGGATGAAATTGACTCGTCCTCTTCCGAGTATCACTCGACCTCGCCACGAAGGAAATTGCCCTCGTACGTGCCCTCTTCCGTGATAGAAGTACAATAAGTATCGTTACAATGACAACTATTGCGACAACTGATGTCAAAATAAATACAAAAGTTCCAAATTATAAGATCCCAGTACCAGCAAATATAATGGATAACATATACACATTTTGATACATTTAGATTTATTTATTATTTTAAAGCTGGACTTGATTCTAGCATTGTTTATATTGGTAACTAGTTAAGGAATCATTTATCTGTTGAAATTGATATGCCTCTTTTATTTTCTATTTTTTTTTTTTATATCTATTTAGAATCATTGTGGACATAGATTTACATTCTTTGATCAGGAGTACCAGTTATAAATCAAATATGGTTGAAATAGTCATACAGTCGAGTTAAATATCAACCTTGGCTCTTGCTTTGACTTACTAAATGGCTAAATACATATCTTGTTGCATCGTTAGTTATTATTGATAAAATTCCATTTCGGTATTTTCTGAGATAAGCGATATAAGCATGCACATGTTTCGTATACAACTTTACCCTGGTGTCAGTACCCACATGTTAACAAAACGATAAATCAGTTTATCGACATAACATTTCAAAACTTCATCTTACTTTTGACACACTACATAAAAGTAAGGTTTCAGTGCCAATAACTGCTCGTTTTTCTTCCACTTCTTATATATTTATTTGGTATCTCACCCTCTTGTATGTTCAAACAGTTAGGCCTCTAGCACTGATGGTGATTGACAATGCATGCAAACCCGGAGCAATATCCGTTCTATTTTTCTGTACCATTTAGCTAAATATCTAAAAGATAGTGAATGTAGTTGAAACGTTTGCGACGTGAAAATGCTTGTAGATTAGTTTTAACATATTCTTACGCAAATAATTCTTTATACATTATACAGATTTGAGGTATATAGAATATACATATTTCGTAAATATTGAAAACATTAAAATTTCCACAGCTTGATATTTTTAAAGAATCATTTCCACTTTCAGAGTATAAAGTGTCCACGTATTTATTATCGATGACCTTTGCTTAAAGTAACTAGTCCAAGCGTAACATACTTTTGTCGGCGGCAATGGTGTAAGTGATGTTGTCCGTTACTGGGGTAGTAATGAATGTGACAGATTCCGTATTAGTGGCGGATACTCCTTGGGTGGTGGTTGTTCCTAAAGTTGTTGAGGTCGTTGGGATTAAAGTGATTGGATTTGCCATCGTGATCGTTGAATAGTTGCAATCCTACAACAACGTACTTAGTATTAGTACTTGTATATTGTTTTATTTACTACATAAGCCACTAATTCAAACTAACACTTAATCTTAGAGGTTTATACATATATCGTAAAATCACTGTCAGTTGGCTACATGGAGACACGAGGAAAGGCAATGCGCCTTAAAGCGAATTGATGTGCTCAAAATTTACGTACCTAACACATTCTTCCACTATCATATAACTCCTTCTTTTCCTGAAAAAGTGCTTAAAAATAGCATCACTTACATATTTACCTTATTCAAACGACTAAGCTATTATCTTACTTAAATCCAAACAAAAATCTAAGTGTTTTTTTAAAAGAATAATATTACTGATTTGCTGAATTTCCATAGAAACTTAGTTAAGATTTTTTTCATACAGTAAGTGTACATTTCATCACAAAAAATATATAATTATAAGTTCAAAAGACAAACCAAGTTATTTACAAACCCACAAAAGAAAAGATTTTTGCGTTTTACTATTTTTATTATCTATGATCATTTTTGCGTTGGACGCGTTGCTACAATAATTCATTTTCAGTCGTAACGTGATGGCGTACATAATTTCGCAATGATTTCGAATTTTGTACTTAATATGTTTTTGATATTTTAATATAAAACGAGAACATGCAACAAAGCTGCTGGACACCAAATCGTTAGATAAAAACAATTACCTGCTCGATGCCAACTGAGGAAACGGATCCTAAATACTTATATTAATTCTTCGATTATTTTTGTTAATGACATTAGCAAGGGGTTTGAAAAAAAAAAAAAAAAAAAAACTTCCTTTGATCTTTTCAAATTGCTTCAAACTTTGAATTATGGAACTATTGGATATTTATTTGTGACAATGCGTAAAAATGTATGTTGAAGTTCTTCTTAAGAATATGTTGTCCTAATTGATTATATATTGTTTCAAAGAAAACGTATTTTTTCTTTCTTCGAATATTTTCTGTAAGTGTGATTTTGATTTTTGATCACAGAGACATTCTACCTTTCTTTTTATTAGCATTCAAATAAGCATGCAGTAATACAGTGGTAACACCAATGTACATATTTAAATGTTCCTCTGATGCATTGTTGTTATACAATTTGAAAGACAAACCGGCATTCCATTTTAGAATCAGGGAAATAACAGGACCTGACTTCTTATACTTATTGAAATAATCCTGATACCAACACTAATGCCTGTCTGTTCTTTGTACCAACTCTTTTCCTAAGACAAACCTACACCTTTTTACACTGTTTATTTTTTTAGTAATGGCTAGGTTTGTTTTGAACACAAACAGTATTTGAAAACTTATTGTTTGCGAGCTCTCGAAATCGTCTCTTTCCTCTGTCGAGCAAAGTATTAAATAACCGGTGTCTCGAATCTAAACCGTTAAATATTATAGGGACGTCTAGCCCAATAGCCCTCTTATACTTCAGATAATCAGGGGGACTGGTATGACTATATAATACAGACTATATGATTATACCGTAGTCAAGTCTGCCATGCCCAACACTGGTGTGACTATTATACAGACTGTCTGGATGTAATGCAATCAAATCTACCCTGACCAACACATTTATGATTATCATATAGACTATATGATAAAAATTTAGCCAAAATATCATTCCCACCACTGGTATGACTATTATATAGACTTTATTTCTGTAATACAATCAAATATATCCCGCCTGACACTGGCACGACTAACATGCAGAACAAAGGACAACATACTACAGCTAAGTCTACCCGACCTGACACTGGTGTGACTGTCATAAAGACCATAGGTCAACATACTACAGGTAAATTCACTTCACCTGACACTGGTGTGATTGTCATACAGACCTTAGGTCAAAATACTAGTGAGTTCTTACCCACCTGATACTACAGCTAAATCTACACTTCTTGACACTGTATGACCTTCATACACATCTCATGACAACATGCATGTACTGCAGGCAAATCTACCCCGCTGATACGAGTATGCTTGTATTACAGACCAAAGAGAAATCTACTACAGTCCAATCTACCATGGATTCATATATAATAACAAATTATGTTTCAATAAAGAAAACATATTCACTTACCTGCTCTTTTCGATCGTTCCTTGCCCGTAGTGTAAATCTATTTATGGGTTTTCCCGGCAAACACTTTCACTTCCTTAATCATTTCTTCTTTTATGACACATCTTATCCACACTTAGTAAACAGTATTGAAGATGTCTTTGGAGGGTAGACAATGCTGACCTTAAAACTCGAATCTGAAAGATGTGCTGATAGATGCATGCGGATCTATTAAGTATATCGTAAAGATCATGCATTCATTTGGAAATACGTCTATAGAATAGTGTAATTTGAAAAAAAGGTGTTTTTATGTGAAATCTTAATATAGATTTGGGTAGTCGAGTTGCGCAGTAGGTCTGTTATATCTGCTGCTATTTTCCGATGGGTTCCGTGTTGCTTAGTGCAAAAGGTTGTGTGAAACGGAGCGGGACTTGACTCAACAAAACACAGCACACTAGGTGATTGTATATCTATATACTAAAGTCGTTGACGTTTGTATAAAAAACAGCGTTGCCACGAAATTTATACTGAACAAATATGAGTGAAAGTTAATCAAGGAAACTTCAATATGTCAGTACTGGTATTCACAACGTTAATGCTACATAAAACATTTGAATAATGACATTTGCAGTAACGACATTAGCATTAAAAGGCCGTAGTCTGTTTTTAACTTATCAATAAAACGCTATTTGTCTAATGTCTAGTTTTAACTGTACGGCAAATAAAAAAAAAAACGCGTGTGTCTATGTTGACAGGTACTGTGTGTAAGAATCAACCAGGAACACCGTGGATATGTTATTTCTAGTCTTCTAGTCTTACAATATAAGTAATTAAAAATAAAATTTCTTCATTATCACTTTTATCAGATTTAATTAAAAACATATGAAACCCTCATAGCGTCTATGCATCCGAGCTGGATAATTGTATAGTGACATGATGTACTTGTAGTATTGACCGGTAGACACATCATGTATAATAAGCAAAAGATTAGAAATGCCTAAAAATGTATGAATTGGGATTCCCCTCAATTTTTATTCCTTTTGATTAACTGAAATACCGTTTCCAGCCTAGTGATATCATCCAGTTCGAGAGTAGTTTAAACACGACATAGCATATATGTATCAGCTTAATGTATTATACTACAATTATTTAATCTTGTTGGCACGAGTGTAAAGGCAGGGGTCAGAATGTAGAAGGGAACCGGGGTACCCGGGAAAAAACCCCGTGGGCGGGCAGGTGAGCCCAATACCTTTTCATGTCCGATTTGGTAACAGCATGAGCCTACTGCGCAACTCGACTACCCAAAGCAGATGAAGAAGCATCACAAGACGTAAACCTTTCACTGTTGTACATGTATTGTCTGGTAACAGAAAGTATACCACGGCCATGTTTGTTCATTTACCCCGATTTGGCTGTAAGCCCCCAGTTAGTAAGTGTTGTAAAGTGAATCGTAATCAATATTTCAATTATCTTTTTGTATCATTCCAGCTTCATGCTGGAGGGATAGACTGTGCCCAATACCGCCAAATACCTTTGTTTATGGAAATAAAATATTTTACTAAAACCTTGCTTATTCTTATTGAGAAACAAATTAATAGAGATAGGCGATAGGTAAACACATACGTTTACACAATATTGGTATAAAGTGACCTAACTTTTTCTATAAAACAAATTCAAAATTGTATTGGTTGTGTAAAAAGAACTTCTCATAAAACAACTTCAAAATGAGCTCTAGACCCTGAACTTGAATGGTTTCGAACCTCTTGCCAAGGATGCTGTAAAGCTGTCGTTGCAGTGCGAGTTATTCATTCTCGATATTTAGAGTTCAATTCTTTATAAAACCCATTCTTGTTTTATAAAAGATGACGGGTATCATTGTAACAAATAATCAAATAACACAAAAAGACTTAATTCTAAATAATGTTTAAAAATTCAATAAAAAATAAATTTAAAGAAAAAATTAAAAAAAATGAAACAAATTGTTTATTGCCTTTTATATATAGTAAAACCGATCAGAGACGGTAAAGAAAGAACTTCATTTTTTTGTTAGATACTGAAAAAAAAGTACACATATTATGAATAATTATGAGTAATTATATATAAAACAAAAACAAGATATCAATGAAATATTATCACCCATGATATAATATATTTAATGAGCAAGGTTCTTGCAATACATTTTTCAATTCGTGCAACATTGCAAACTGATATTACTTTTCATTATACCATTCAAAAAGAGAGTTCTTTAGGTAAACGTAAAGGGACATCTAAAGTTTAATAACGTCTGGAAGAAATGGTATAAAAACCTAAAAGTAAAACTGAATCTCTGTCTGTACAGTAATGAAAAACATTAAAACTATAAAATTTTGATTTTGTTTATATTTATATGAAAATATATAAAAATAGACTATGATAACCCACCGTTAGCAAGGAGAAATATTAATTTCTAAGTAATATCTCATAAATATATTAGGATAATGTTACAAATAGAGATACAACTCCTCTCTTTCTATTTCTTTAATAACGTCTGGCAGAAAAAGTATAAAACCTAAAAGTAAAACCGAATCTCTGTCTGTACAGTAATAAAAAACATTAAAACTATGAAATTTAGATTTTGTTTTTATTTATATGAAAATATATAAAAATAGACTATGATAACCCACCGTTACCAAGGAGAAATATTAATGCCTAAGTAATATCTCATATATCTTATGATAATGTTACAAATAGAGATACAACTCCTCTCTTTATATTTCCTCTTTCTACCTCCTCGTTTTCCCCTGTATGTCTTCTCCCTTTGCCCTCCTTTATTTCCTCTTTCTACCTCCTCGTTTCCCCCTGTATGTCTTCTCTTTCCCCCTCCTTTTTTTCCTCTTTCTGCCTCCTCGTTTCCCCTGTATGTCTTCTCCTTCCCCCTCCTTTATTTCCTCTTTCTGCGTCCTCTTTTTCCCCTGAAGCTCTTCTCCCTTTTCCCTCCTTTATTTCCTTTTCTACCTCCTCGTTTCCCCCTGTATGTCTTCTCTTTCCCCCTCCTTTTTTTCCTCTTTCTGCCTCCTCGTTTCCCCCTGTATGTCTTCTCTTTCCCCCTCCTTTATTTCCTCTTTCTGCTCCTCTCTTTATATTTCCTCTTTCTACCTCCTCGTTTCCCCCTGTATGTCTTCTCTTTCCCCCTCCTTTTTTTCCTCTTTCTGCCTCCTCGTTTCCCCCTGTATGTCTTCTCTTTCCCCCTCCTTTTTTTCCTCTTTCTGCCTCCTCGTTTCCCCCTGTATGTCTTCTCTTTCCCCCTCCTTTTTTTCCTCTTTCTGCCTCCTCGTTTCCCCCTGTATGTCTTCTCTTTCCCCCTCCTTTATTTCCTCTTTCTGCCACCTTGTTTTCCCCTGTATGTCTTCTCCTTTTTCTCCTCCTTTATTTCCTCTTTCTACCTCCTCGTTTTCCCCTGAATGTCTTCTCCTTTTCCTCCTCCTTTATTTCCTCTTTGTGCCTCCTCTTTTTCCCCTGAATGTCTTCTCCCTTTTCCCTCCTTTAGTTCCTCTTTCTACCTCCTCGTTTTACCCTGTATGGTTTCTTCTTTTTCTCCTCCTTTATTTCCTCTTTCTGCCTCTTCGTTTTCCCCTGTATGTCTTCTGCTTTTCCCCTCCTTTATTTCCTCTTCCTCCTCGTTTCCCCCTGTATGGCTTCTCCTTTTCCTCCTCCTTTATTTCCTCTTTCTCCCCCCTCGTTTCCCCTGTATGTCTTCTCCTTTTCGCCTCCTTTCTTTCCTCTTTCTACCTCCTCGTTTTCCCCTGGATGTCTTCTCCCTTTGCCCTCCTTTATTTCCTCTTTCTACCTCCTCGTTTTCCCCTGGATGTCTTCTCCTTTTCCTCCTCCTTTATTTCCTCTTTCTACCTGTACAGTAATAAAAAACATTAAAACTATGAAATTTAGATTTTGTTTTTATTTATATGAAAATATATAAAAATAGACTATGATACCCCACCGTTACCAAGGAGAAATATTAATGCCTAAGTAATATCTCATATATCTTATGGTAATGTTACGAATAGAGATACAACTCCTCTCTTTATATTTCCTCTTTCTACCTCCTCGCTTTCCCCTGTATGTCTTCTCCTTTTCCCCTCCTTTTTTTCCTCTTTCTGCCTCCTCGTTTCCCCTGTATGTCTGCTCCTTTTCCCCTCCTTTATTTCCTTTTTTCTGCCTCTTCGTTTTCCCCTGTAGGTCTTCTCCTTTTCCCCTCCTTTATTTTCTCTTTCTTCCTCCTCTTTTTCCCCTGAAGCTCTTCTCCCTTTTCCCCCCTTTATTTCCTCTTTCTACCTCCTCGCTTTCCCCTGTATGTCTTCTCCCTTTTCCTCCTCCTTTATTTCCTCTTTGTGCCTCCTCTTTTTCCCCTGAATGTCTTCTCTCTTTTCCCTCCTTTATTTCTTTTTTTCTGCCTCTTCGTTTTCCCCTGTATGTCTTCGCTTTCCCCCTCCTTTATTTCCTCTTTCTTCCTCCTCGTTTTCCCCTGTATGTCTTCTCTTTCTCCCTCCTTTATTTCCTCTTTCTACCTCCTCGCTTTCCCCTGTATGTCTTCTCCCTTTGCCCTCCTTTATTTCCTCTTTCTACCTCCTCGTTTCCCCCTGTATGTCTTCTCCTTTTCCCCTCCTTTATTTTCTCTTTCTTCCTCCTCTTTTTCCCCTGAAGCTCTTCTCCCTTTTCCCCCCTTTATTTCCTCTTTCTACCTCCTCGCTTTCCCCTGTATGTCTTCTCCTTTTTCTCCTCCTTTATTTCCTCTTTCTACCTCCTCGTTTTACCCTGTATGGTTTCTTCTTTTTCTCCTCCTTTATTTCCTCTTTCTACCTGTACAGTAATAAAAAACATTAAAACTATGAAATTTAGATTTTGTTTTTATTTATATGAAAATATATAAAAATAGACTATGATAACCCACCGTTACCAAGGAGAAATATTAATGCCTAAGTAATATCTCATATATCTTATGTTAGTGTTACAAATAGAGATACAACTCCTCTCTTTATATTTCCTCTTTCTACCTCCTCGTTTCCCCCTGTATGTCTTCTCCTTTTC